CTCAACTCAACTCTGCAATCTATTTTACCGTCCGCCTGGAAATGAATTTATAGAGAAAACTGCCAATGGTTTTCATATGCCAAAGACCTAACACGAGATAGTTTGATTGCTGTTAAAAAAACCAATTTTTTATGAATTGTCCCATTCCCTGAAGCAGGGCCGTTTCCACGGGTGAGCTGGTGGCAGGTGTGAAGGTCAATGACGTCACGAACACACGTGCGGGGAACGCACGGACGAGTGATACCTCGCGAAAAGCTGCGTTGCGGCAGGTGCAAGTGCCATTCTACCGTGCTAAGGAAAAACGTCGTATAAACCTTCAAGCGTTGCCAAATTTCCTTTAAAAAAACACGAATTTCTTGGTAAGCTCACGATTATTTTCCTTCCAATTTTTTGGATAATTTTGTTTGCAAATTCACCCAAAGTCCCTGAAAATTTCGAGGAAAAATATCCATAACTTTCCTTAAAATACACATTATATCGGTGGAAATTTGGCAACTCTCGGATGTTCATGCGGCGTTTTTCCATAGCACGGCAGCATTGACAATGGGCCGAACCGAACGTGACGAGAGACGACGAAAACAAGATGAGCCCTAATTGAAGAGAACTCGAAAAAATTAATTTATGGATAGATTTTTTTTTTTTTATGGATTTATGGATGGCAGAGGAGCTCCCGGCCGCCGAAGCTGGCACCAAAAAGAAAATGGTTTCTTCTTTCTTCTGCTTGAGACTCTAATTCTGCCGTGCTAAGGAAGAACGCCGTATGAGCATTCGAGAGTTGCCAAATTTCCTTCGATAAAATGCTCATTTTTGAGGAAAGTTATGAATATTTTTCCTTTAAATTTTCAGAATCTTCAGGTAAAATTGCGAACTAAATTATCTGAAAAATTGGGAGGAAAATATTCATAAATTTACCGGGAAATTCGCGTTTTATCATAGGAATTTTGGCAACGCCTGAAGGTTCATACGGCGTTTTTCCTTAGCACGGCAGAATTGCACGAAGAAGGCGCTCGACTCGAGCGAAGCACATGCACGAGCTACCATTACACTGGGTCAACGCACCGGACATCCACACCTCCTATTAAGGCTTCAACTTGCATGAGAAAAAAACTGCCGCTTCTTCAATATTATATTCCACCTTAGGTCCCGGCTACTGTCTACTACTCGCAAGGAGGCTTGCGCCCACAAAAAAAAAAAAAAAAAAAAAAAAAAAAAAAAAAAAAAAAAAAAAAAAATCTGTAAGATTCAGTAGGTGCTGTTCGCTTCATGATTGTGCCGACGAACCTATTAGGTTCACGAAGTTGAACTTCGATTCGATGGACTCAACACTGAGCTCAACGCACAGAGACTTGGATACGGTGAACCCAAGTTCCACCGACAAAGGGATTCGTCTTCTAAACCGAAAAGCGCCCTTTCATCAAATTGAGCGGAATATGAATAAAGGGTATAGCCACAGAATTTAGAAAATGAAATTCCCTGACATTTCCCCGAGTTCCCTGACACATTTTGGTGAAATTCTCTGACAATAACTGAAGATCTAACGGAAGGTTAAGAAGGCATAATTGAAAATAGTTTTCAGGCACAATTTCTTGTTCAAAACCTAAAACCCATTCTAGAAAGCAAATGAAGGTGATTTAACAAATTATCCCTGACATTTTCGTCATTTTCTCTGACATTTCCCAGTTTTCTCTGACTCGTTAAAATTCCCAGACATTTTCCGATTTTCACTGACTGTGGAAACCCTGAACTATTAATAAGCTCAATATCTACATCAAGGGAGCGTGTATTAATGATTGAATCCTATAAATTAGTAAAAATGACAAGAAATGGCGGAAAATACTTGCTGACGTCATTCAAACCGTTAGGTCCTGCCGATGACTTAAAATGAGGAAATGCAGAGCAAATCTCGATCATGATCCATGAAAATATGGCACACATTCCGACGGTGGACGACCTCGTCCATCGAGGTTTCTGAAGGACAATAACTCCGATAATAATGGGCGTGAAAATATAGCGTTACAGACAGATCTTATCGTTTATTACTAAGTGTGAGGATTTCACCGACAAAACACGATTCTGACATACACAACTGAACCATTAAAATGTTCTTAATGACCAGTAATCAGTCCATCGGTCACGCCCTGATTCTTCAAAATGAAATTCACTTTGAGGAATATGACAAATCGGAGGGGTTCATACGCCTTGTAGAGGAATGTAATGCAGGGTGTCCCGAAGTTAAACGTGAACAGTTTCAGAATTGATTTTTAGGGAAAACGACACTTTTTTGCTCTATGACGTTTGCCCAAAAAAGACCCCCCCCCTTCAGAGCTGCGGAGTTGCTTGTTTACGGTGTTGAGGGAGGGTTCCCTCACTCAAATCATTCCTTAAAATATAACTTGTTTTCTTTTAGGTTGGAAATGTGTTACGCGTGTGAAAGTGCCGATTTTATATTCATACATTTTGTCACAATCATGAAAAAACTGTTTTTTGGGCAAAAATTTGAGGGAAAATGAGGGACTGTAACTCTTCCGAAGGGGAGGGGGGCGTTTAGAGAAAACTATATAGAAAAAAGGGCTTATTTTGATCCGAAAAATCTATTCTGATATTAGTATAAGATACCCTGTATAAAATGCAGCCCCGTTACTTTTATTGTTGAGCAAGAATAAGACAAGCTCTTGTGTAACATCTGATCATCAAAACATGAGCAAAAACTGAAAAAGCCGAGAATGTTTTCACCTACACTCGAATGTGCTCGAGCGTAATGAGGCCGTTCATTTCGGGCACGTGAAAAAAATGAACGGGGAAAAAACAAACAACCCAGTCGACCTTCGCTAACATACATTCAGCCCGCGAATTAAGGAATGGCGCATGGCGTTGAGATGGATGCACGCCACCGAGCGCAGAAAATAATTCATTTTTTGGGTCAAATGCCGATGCGATGCTGTCAATAAAAATGAAATTACCAAACACAAATGACGATCATTTATCTAGTAGTCAGTGATGTAAAACTTTGCGACTGAATAATTCCCTACACATACAATTCAATTCACACATACTAATCACCCAACTATACTTTGTCGAAACCTGACTTCCCAGAGTTGGACGGATGTAACGGAAGTAAGCCTAACTACATTGGACGTCGTCTGATTTTCTCTGAAGTTTTATTTTTTAAGCAGAAAACTAAGCAACACTGAAAATTAAATACTGTGAGTATGTCTATGTCACAGGCAATTGGTAACCGCCGGCAAATACATATAAACAAATTCAGGGTTGCCACAGAATTTGGAAAATTAAAATCCCTGACATTTCCTGGACACATTTTGGTGAAAGTCTTTGTCAGTCGAACAAAATTATGTGACAAATTGGGAGAAACATGCTTACAAATTTTCCCGAAAATTCTTGATTTACCGACGGAAATTTGGGAACGACTGAAGGCTCATACGGCGTTCTTCCATAGCACGGCAGTATTTAATGCATGACATTAGCCAGCACACTCGCGTGTGCGTGAAGTCAGTGCTCTCAGTTGGGTTTGGCTCCGGTAGGCAACTAAACTAACTGCCTGGCAAACCGAAAGGTATCGCGAGGATTTGAAGGCGCTCAGAGGCCGCGGTAGTGCTTTTATAGTTCTTTACCACTGAATTCTTTACTACATCAATGCAAATTGTTGCAATTTGACGAGTTGACACGCATGCCGCTTGCAAATTGCTGACTGTCTGCAGCAACAAACGCGACACTTCCAACTGACCCAATGGTAAGGACATTTGAAAATTCGATGGAGAGGCAATCTTACAATAACGCAGGCGGTGTAACAGGAAACAAGCGTTAGAAAATCGGACACGGAGTGGCTGCATGATTGTTTGGAATGACTGGGTTACATGTAGAATAAGATTGCTCTAATTGCAACGCCAAACATGGCAATACGGGTGCGTTCATTCCGCTTAGGATTAATCAATGGTCGCTATATTTAACTCCTTAAGAAGATCCGAGATACAGACTCCTTGCTCAAGAACATTTAAGCGAATTTCCTGACAACAGTGAACGCAATGGAGCAAACGCCCTGATGCCCACTGTTGCCCAGTTTCACATGACAGGTTGATTTTTCACCGACTTCAAGCGACATCGCACGAAAGATCAACGATTAGCGCTGTCCAGAACACTAAGATCACCGGACATGATAGAGGCGCTAGCGTCGAAATTAAACGGTTCTCTAGAATACGCGAATGAGTGTTTTGGTCTATAATTAAAAATTAATCAAAAATCATGTAAAACTTGATAACAAACGCCCGGCGTGGTGTCAAAAACTTTTCTAAGGGGAGCCCCCCGGACCCCCCTCCTCCGTCCGAAATTTCTGGATGCGCTTATGTTCAGGGTTGCAACAAAATTAAAAACATGAAATTTCCTGACATTTCCCTGACATATTTGAGTAAAATTCCCTGACAATTGAGGAAATGCAGCACGGCCAAAAAGACATAATTTGAAATTGTTTCCAGACAAAATATGTTGTTTTGGACGTCAAATCCATTCTAAAAAGCGAAGAAAGGTAAATTAACAATTTTTCCCAGACACTTTCGACATTTTCCCTGACATTTCCAGGTTTTCCCTGACTTTTAAAATTCCCTGACATTCCCGGTATTCCCTGACTGTGGTAAGTGGTAACCCTGTATGTTGTAAACCGAGGAAGAAAAATGTTCTTCTTGTTCACGCAGATTCCTAAAGTCAATGTTCATTACAGAGAGGGTGATGAGAATAAAGGAGGAAAGGGTGATGAGAATAAAGGAGGAAAGGGTGATGAGAATAAAGGAGGAAAGGGTGATGAGAATAAAGGAGGAAGGGGTGATCTATCCAGGTACTCAAATGTTGTAGTCCTGATAATAGGAAAATGATGATCTCATGCTCGAAGTTATGAGCACAGATAGACGGAAAAAGGGGTTTCGATCGAAAGTTTCCCCTCCCGACGACAACACCCATTGCACACGTGAAAGAGCGAATGAGGATGTACTCACGTTGTTATTGTTGCGGTGGTGGTTCCGGTGATTGGAAGTACTGAAGAGCAACTTGGACACGTCCGTCAAGAAAACCATCTCGAAAACTTGACGAAAACGACGAAAAAAGGAAACTCGGGTGATTCTGGGCGGAAAGCTCTCAATCCGCCGGCCAAAATCGGACACAACTACACTTACGGCGATGCCGAAAGGTCTTGAGCGACTCTGATGTGAGAATAGCGAGGATTCCGCGCGGGTGAAGAACGAAAACCGAAAGCTCGAAAACCAAAGCTCGGGAGCGAGGCGAGGCGACGAAACGTCTCACAGGCCGCGTCCAACTTGGAAAACTAAACTGATCGCCACAACCGATTCCGGATCCGCGGCCGCGGTGGCACACACAACCCCCCCCCCCCCCCCCCNGGTACCCCCAACGAGGAGTGCCGCGCAGCTATGCAACCGCTCCAGTGCTGCCGAATTGGTCACTTTAGAGCAGTGTTTGAAACTCACAGGCGCCAAAGCGCCAAACGCGCCTAAAAAATCGGCCATGGCGCCTAAAAAATGAAGGCTCTGCGCCAACGTGGCCCCTAAAAATTGCCCCTTAAAAATCCGAATTTTCATAACAGGTGATTATTCGAAATTTTCAGCACTACAAGTGAAAGCTTCTTCTATTTTTTACGATTTTATCCTTTGTGCTTTTGTCTTCCCCCAAGTTACAGCTACTTATACTAGTTCTGTTACGAAAACATTTTGCATCTAACTTTTCACTAAATGCGCCGTAATATATAGGCAAAAAGTCAATTTGGCCCCTAACAAATCTTCAATAGCGCCTAAAAATCAGGCTTGATGCGCCATTTGGCTCCTAAAACTCAAAGGTGAGTTTCGAACACTGGCCAGGATTATTCCCGAAAACTTGTCAGGTCAGGTTCTGGAAATTTTTTAGGAATTTTGAAAATGCTGAGAAAATGAGGAAATGCTTAGGAAAATTGCAAAATCGGCATTGCATTTTTTAATCCCCTTTGTAATGGTTTTTAGAGTGTTTTTGACGTTCCGAACAAAAATTGAAGGTGAGTTTCGAACACTGCTTTAGAGCCCCTTTATAGAGAGATTAAGACAACGCGGCTCATGGATGTCACGAACAGAAATAAAGATTACACAAATTGAAAGTTGTTCATACTCTTTGATCAACTCATTCCCAAATTCCTGCAGGGTGTCTACTACGACAGGCTGGCCAAAAATCAGTACTTTCACAGTATTTTTTCAGTACATTCACAAGAAATTCAGGACCTCCTCAATAGAAAATTTCGGTACTTGTTCAGTACCTTCAATTGACGAAATTCGATTTTCAAAAATATGAATTTCTTGCTCAAAATCAAAGCTGTATTTACCTACTTGCCGCCCCCTTCTTATTCGTTTTGAAACATCAATAAAAACCATCAAGTGAACGTGCCGGAGGGGGAGGGTGCATAACACGCGTTTACTCGTGTTGGACACATTTTTTGCGAAAGCCCTGTCAACACTGCTAGCAAAAGTTCTCGGCACTTAGCGCGAAAGTTAAGTTCTGTAAACCTATCTCTGTGTGAACAAGGTCTTCCATTTGTAAGAAATAAACGTAAAAATTATGCAAGAACAAACATAAATGTGGTTCAAAAATTTTAACTTCCGCCGCGCGGCCGCGAACGCACTGTGTTTGACGCAATGCGTGAAGTATTCATGAAGTCTAGTGCACTGTTCTTGACGTAATGCGTGAAGTATTCATGCAGTCTTGTAGGCGCTATGCGTTTCACGTCGACTGCTGGCTGAGTACTGCTGACCGCACTATGTTTGACGCAATGCGTGAAGTATTCATGCAGTATTGTAGGTGCTAATAAGTGTTACAAGCCGACCGCCGCGCTGAGGGCTCCTTTCCATCTCAAATCTACGTCATCATTGCCCTCTGCGCCGCGCCGTTCCATGCCAAATTGCGTGTTTGGTTTCTCTCCTAACTCGACAATTTAAAGGTGCTGTATCTTGTATCACCGAAAGACGACAAAATTAGAAATTACTATACCTCAGGAAATGGGAGATTTTGTCGCGTTTTCTCGTTTGTAATTTTTTTTCTGAATCCGATTTTTTTTATACCTACATTAAAAAAAAAATTGCAAAATTTGTCGCCCCCTAAATTTGCCGCCATGGGCCGCGGTCCATGTGGCCAATCCCTTAATCTGGCCCTGCTCCAAATGTGACAAAAATGACAAAAAATGAAAAAAATTCGGACCATACAGAATTTCTACACTATATCATTTTTAACTCCTACTTTTTAGATTTTTCGTGTAGCAAAGCATGACAGGTTTTAAGTTTTTTGTTTCGCAAAAATCCTCATAGGCGTGGTTAGAAAAATATTGTGGGGGGGGTGGGGGGTCAAAGGGTCCGTTTATCTTTCACAGAGTTTATTCATGGTATACTGTAACGCTACCTACGGTCTCAGGAATGGTTCCCGACCCTTTTCGCTACGTCGAAGAAAATCTTTTGCGGTATAAAATTGACGTGCTTCGCTACCAAGGGTGGAGAAAGATCCGGAGACGCACTCATAACTGGGCTCCGTTACTTCATCGGAGTAACATTGATTGGCGTCGTTCAATGCACTCTTGCAAAATCACGTGACGTGCAACTATCATCAATAAAATACATTTGTAAAGCGCAACACTCGTTTTCAAGTTGAAGTCCCTTGGGGGCGAGCTAGTGAACCAGTTGCTGCGCTGGACCCGATATGAGTGGCGACCCGATGCGATGGGCCAATCTGATACCTATACTGCCGTCCTAGGGAAAAATGCCGTATGAGCATTCAAGCGTTGCCAAATTTCCTTTAATTAGACACGAATTTACGGGGAAAATTCTGAAAATTTCTTATCTAATTTTTTAGACAATTTTGCTCACAATTTCATTTGGAACGTCTGAAAATTTCAAGGTAAAATATGGATAACTTTCCGCAAAAATAAACATGTTATCGAGGGAAATTTGGCAACTCTCGAATGTTGATACGGTGTTGTTCCGGCCGCACGGAAGTATAGGGCTAGCAATGAAGTTGGATGGAGTGGGCCGGAGACTTGAGCGCAGGGCTAATAAATGCGCCGGCGTCGACGTTGCATCACAATGACGTAGAAACCACTACTGATCCGCGACAATAACATTATCCCATCTTATTTTCAGTTTTACTTGAAGGGACAATCGATATAAGCTCATTTAACGAAGAGGAAAATATTTGAGCTGCTTCTTTTGCACTTTCTACAGCATTGATCAAAATTCGATGGATCAATACACTGGGAAAAAAAAACACATTGGATCTAGAGTCCAGACTCTTGAAAACATTGACAAGAAAAATACTGTTGATTCAATCAGATTTAAGCTTAAATCAAAAGGATATCCGCTCAAATTAAGAGGTTTGGTTCTGGATTTAAGGTTAAATCTGATTGAATTAAGAGTCCTTTTCCTTGTCAATGTTTTCAAGAGTCTGGACTCTAGATCCGTTGTGTTTTTTTCCAGTGTAGTGTATGATTTTTGGATTGCGGAATTATATTTCATAAATCCCTGAGAGGGAAATCTTGCTTTGATGTTTTTTTTTGTTTCTTTCTTTCTTTTGTATTTTTTTTAAATGAGACCTCATAATAGATGACGAATTTAATTTTTCTGGAGTTAAAAAAAAAATGATCGACGGGTTTTTAAAACCTTCTCTAAAAATGAAAAACTAAGCCGATTATTTTTGAAAATTAGACTCCTCCTCAATTAAATAAAACGCGATTCTAAACAATTTTTTTTACGAGAATAATTAATGTTGAAAGGACACGGTTCGGAAGATTTCTTCAGAAGAATCCATCCTGATTTTCTGTTGGCAACAATGTAACCGCGCAATTTCACAGCGTAATCTCGACAGTGATTTTATATTTTAAAGTGAGGTTTGCAATACAAGGGGAGATTGACTAACATTTGCACCTGACCGCTTTGAAGCGAGGCGACTCAGTATTTGCGAAGTCAATGGACGTGACCTACGATCCAGCGGCGTGGCGTGAATTGCGATATATCGATTGTTCTGCCATTTAAACCTACGGTAAAGAATCGATTATTAAGGTGTCCGCTGCGAACACTCTGTTTATCGATCATTTTCCATAGGTTTAAACGGCATTACCATCGATATATCGCAATTCACGCCACGCCACTGCTACGATCATATTCAGATCGTTGCCAATCTTATGACTGATGAGCTCAGGTCTCGGGTCATTGATTCCTAACAAACGCAGAGAGGGGAGAACGGGCTCGGTAATATTTTTTTTTAAAATCTTGGAGGCAAGAGAAAAAAAAAAAACGCGCGCCCACGATGCGATCTAGATTAAACCGAGAAACACAATGGGAAAAGCTTCGATAACACTGCTGTCACGGGGAAAAGACGTAAGAATATCTGGAAGGTGCCTAATTTTTTTGATGAATTGCAAAGTTCTCACTGGAAAAAAACACATTGGATATAGAGTCCAGACTCTTAAAACATTGACAAGAAAAAATACTCTTGATTCAATCAGATTTTTGCTTAAATCAAAAGGAAATCCGCTCAAATTAAGAGGCTTGGTTCTTGATTTGAGCAAAACTCCGATTGAATCAAGAGTATTTCATCTTGTCGATGTTTTTAAGAGTCTGGACTCCAGATTCAATGTGTTTTTTCCAGTGCTGAAAGGGAGGAAAAACTGTAAACATTTTTTCTAAAAATTTTCGAATTTCACTTCCAAGCTAATCGAGCAGATTTGGAAATTTCCTTAAAAAATGCATACTTTTCTAAAGAGTAAATATTGTATCATGGAAAATTTGTCAACATTAAAACTTTCATTTTCCTTCTTTACCGCGGCACAGGTCCAAAAAAATTCGCGGGAAAAGAATGGGAATTCTCGCGTGCGTCCCAGGGAACTTTCACGGTTACTTCTCTGATTGCGTGTGTGTGTGTATTCTGTGTGAATATGAACGTGTATGCGTTTCTCCTCCAAAGTTCCCCTGAAAAGTAGATTTTGGTGGGAAATTCCCGGGAAGAGGAAAGGTTACCAGACTTGGATTCCTGGTCCACTGACGCAAAGAGAGAATAAGCTCATATTATATATGCTTGTTGCCAAACAGTCTACATAAACACGAGGATTTATTTTTATTTAACTCACGAATAACGACCGAGCGTGCATCAGCTATACCTTATTGCGGGATACGATTCTGAATTGGACTGCATTTTGAAATTTGGAACTATAAATTCTGGCTCTTCTGGAAAAACGCTTATGTGCATAGGGAAACTAATGGCACATACGTTGTTTTTAAACCGGGCTAAAATTTATAGTT